TATTTAGTTGGCAAATTAAATATTTAGTTTAGGAATTAAATGTTTAGTTTAGGAATTAAATGTTTAACTTATAAATTAAATGTTTAGTTTGGATAATAGATATTTAGGTCTGAGATAAATATTTAGTTGGCAAATTAAATATTTAATTTAGAAATTAAATGTTTAGCTTAGAAATTAAATGTTTAGTTTGTAAATTAAACGTTTAGCTTGTACATAAACATTTATCTTGTAAATTAATATTTGGTTTGGAACTATGACATTTATAAAAGTATTTACATTGTGAAAATATGCCTTTGAAAAAAAAAAAAAACTTTTTTTTTCTCATGAAACACTAAACAAACCAAAATATCACTGTTAATTTTTGACTGTGTAATTTTCCAAAGGCACCCCATACCTAATAATGTTTTTTACACTAAATGTTCTGATATCCTATTATCCTAAAATATTATCTGATAAAATATTGAGCTGCTGTGCATCTCCTTGTGACTTTACATTAAATAAAAAGCTCTCTCAGACTCAAACTTCCTACTTACATCTCAGGTGGAGAAAACTCAGGCCTGCTCATCCTGTGGCCTTCTTGGATCATCCTGTAAAACGCAGATCCCACCTGCATCCCTGGATACGGGCTATTTCCTGCAGCACCAACATAAAACGCATGTGAAATTCCTCTGAGTTGTTTTAGATTACGCAAACAAAAGTCATGTGGTCATACAGCACAGCTGGTTTTAGTCAGTATGACTTGATTGCATTATTGACTCCTCTAAGTGATGTTGCTGCTCAGAGAGAGCATCATCACAGCCTCTAATGAGGCCCCAGTAAGCTCAAATTGATAATAATAATAATAATAATAATGGCTCAGGCATTATGAAACAGCTGAGCTTTAACTGGAAACGTTACCCAGAGAGAAGATTTCCCAGAGCAGGATGCCGTAGGACCAGACGTCACTCTCGAAGGTGTAGACACAGTCGAAAATACTCTCAGGAGACATCCACTTGACCGGCAGACGAGCCTGGGATGAGGATACATCCAGGTGAGGAGGATGTTCAGCCATTTTTGTTGTTTTTGTCATAATGTAAATCATGTGAGAGAGAGACTCACGTTTCCCCGCAGCACATAACTGGCGTCAGTGGTGATGTCTCGGGCTAAGCCGAAGTCACAGATCTTGGCCACCCTGCCGTGAGTCAGCAGAACGTTCCTGGCTGCTAGATCCCTGTGGATACACTGCAGGTAAAAGAAACACGCTAAATGAGTGCTGACCTTGTTACCAGTTCCTGCAAGAAATTACATAGAGTATGTAGGAATTAGGTGAGTCCTGACGTGATTTTACTAAAATTACAAATAATACAACAATCTGATCACAAATATAAATTAAAAAACATAAAACCAAAACTTCATATGGTTTAAAAAGAGGAGGAAGAAGAAAACACCTAGGGCCTTCCTGAAGGCTCAGAGCCCCATGTTTAGCCCCACCCACTCTACATCAACATTGTGACTGATTAATTTTCCTGTCAGTTCTTAAACAAACTCATCCTGAGCTGAGCCTTCTCTCCTGACAGCGAAGTCCTGACCAGTGAGAACTATCCTTTGAACATGTTTCTGCCTGGAGACACAGATATTAAAGCATCTGATTGGATAACTCTATTGTCATAAATTAAAAAGTTTCTTGCTCAAATGCAACGTACTTTACAGTAAATAAGAGAAATTAGCAAAATGTATGAAAAATACATGGAAATGTATGTTTTATATAAAATAAATACAAAGTATTAAACAATAATTTAAATGTAACGTTTCCTATGTGCTGAGTTTTAGGCCTTCTCTAAAGGTGTAGAAGGCTCTGAGGGTTACCCACGGTACAGTATACACGTAAAATGATTCACTAAATCCAAACTTTGCAACTAAAAAAGAAGCAGTGGAACATTAAAGGACAACGCCAGATTAAGTTTCGTTGATGACTCCTGGCTTTATGTAAAAGTTTGTGCTGAGTGCATTAAGGTGAAACTTTTTCCAGGATAGACATGACTGTGTCAAGCTTGTCTGAAAGCCATATATATGTGGACCCTGCACGCTCTTTTTGGACCTGGATCAACTTTCCTTTAGCTGTTCACTGTTCCACTGTGCTCAGCAGATATCTGGCTCTGCGTCTGCTGAACACAGAGGTTGGTTCTGTCATATTACAGGGCAGCGGACAGGTCAGAGCGAGCGGGGCAGAAAATAACACAGTTGAGTGTGTTGTTTGTAAAACACTTAATGCAGAGCACAGATGAGGAGAAGTGCAGTGTGAAATATGCCTTTGGTACATTTTTAAAAACATGAGAGGACTGCCTTTATTTATGTGCAATCTAAGACGTACAGTGAAAGCGCTGTGATGCACGTATAACTGTGCCACCAGCTGACAGCAAGTTTCTGCATGCATGTTGGCTCTTAATATAATTTATTAACTAGCGGCAGCACTTTAAATAGTCAATAAATATGTACACAGTGTGTTAAAGCCTTACGTTCTTGGAGGTAATGTACTCCATCCCTTTGGCAACCTGGTAAGAAAAGCTGAGGAGATCTTCAGCGTCCAGAGACAGCACGTCTACTTCATCTGAACAGAGATTTGATCATCAGCTTCACGAACTAAAAAAAGGATTTTCCTTTTTGGGGTAGCTGACCAAAACACAGAATGAGTACCTGACTGGGAGGACCGTTCTTTCTCAGACGTACGCATGGGCATATATCCTGTACCAGCTACTTCTCTGCTACACACACAGATACACACACTTAAGTATTCAAAGCAGGCATGTTTCTATAGCATTCACACTTTAGGAATTTGCACATGTAAACACCTTGTTGGCTCCGACTGATCCGAGACGTTGCGATAGTAATCGCCCCCATCCCGGGAATTTAGAAAGGACTCTCGTTTCCTTCGTAGGAAGTTGAGCAGATCGCCATAGCAACAGTACTCGGTGATCACTAAAATTGGGCCTGGCAAGATGCAGAGATAAAAAAAAAAAAAAAAAAAAAAAAAAAACACAAATTCAGTGAAACAATGAACATGAGACAAAAGAGGATGTCGTTGGAAAGCTTTGTTAGACATTTTAATGACTACTTTTGACACAAAGAAGGAAGGACACTGTATGAGCTTGTCAGAGATTAACAATAAGTGTGTGTAGAAGGCAACAAATATGTTTTCATGGTAAGATGCTAAACTAATGTCTGTGAACACTGGAAAAACTTTTAATGAAAAAATGTCTGCTCCATGTCGACATCCCTTAAGTGTTCAGCATGTTTATCACAACAACATAACTCACACTCCAATAAAAATGCTGCATAACAATCAATACTGAGGTCTAGGTGGGCAGCTAAATGCTATTGATCCATTGTAAATTTGCGACAAGTCGAGCTGCATTACATTCTAACATCAGAACTGGGCGATATCTGATTTTTAATCAGATACTGGGCCGTCAGCGAGACGGCACACAACTGTAAGAGTCTAATCTACTGAAATGATCTCCCAAACAACGTTAACTAAAGCAGTAGAAAATTATTAACAGCAATAGAAAAAAATGCACCACACGTTCTTTAAAAGATAAATCGAGTTTAACAAAAATAAAAAATATGCCACATTCCTTTTGCTTCTCAAGTTTGAACTTGGAGTGAAGTCAGAAAATCTATAGACTTGCATTAGACCAGGCTATTATGATGAAATTAAAAAACTAATAATCTTGCATTTCATACATTCAAACACTAATCAACATGTTCACTCAGTGAGGTTGTGCATTTTACCATGTTGAAATTCAAATAAGACATAAAATAAACAGGTTATATCTGCGGCTAGCTCCCTATTTATGTGAGGCAGCTATACTGGATTTTAGTCTCATCAAGTGAAAACTTCTAACTTTGTAAGTTGTAATTGTAACTTCAGCAGTCATTCTAGTTGATTTTTCTGATTAGGAGCTGAGTAATTCCAACCTCCCAGTACAAACAGAATGACTAGGTTCACTACTGTTAGTGAGACAGCTGATAATATTTATTTTTCACTGCATTTAATGCAAATAAACTCCATAGCAAAGTGTTTACTGATATAATTTGTACAAAACATAAACAATGTGACTAATTATGAAGCAAAAATTAACATAAGACTAAATGAGCAGCTTATTACTACGAGGGAGTATTATGGCCACACTAAGAAAAAAAATTACATTACGAGAAAAAAGTCATGAAATTACGAGAATAAATTCAATGTGTTACAAGATTAAAGTCGTAGTATTACAAGAATAAAGTTGTAAAATTACAAGAATAAAGTCGTAATATTACGAGAATAAAGTCAAAATAATATGAGAATAAAGCTGTAATATTATCAGAACTCCGACATGAAAAAGCAGTCTAACAACTGTGGTAAAAGGATGAATGTTGAGCATCTTGTTAAGTTATACTTTGGTATTGGTTTTACAAATAAGGAAATACTTAATCTGATAGCACATCAGCATCTACGACATAGTAGGGCCACACTATTTTTCTCGTATTATTTCAACTTTATTCTTGTAATATTTCAACTTTATTCTCTTACGACTTTATTCTCATAATATTATGATTTTATTCTTGTAATATTTTGACTTTATTCTTGTAATACTGCAAATTTATTCTCATAATATTTCAACTTTATTCTCGTATGACTTTATTCTTAGAATCAGAATCAGAATAAGCTTTATTATCATTGCACCGAGATACAACAAAAATATGTCCGCAAAGCCGTCCGAAAGATGGATGGAATGCACAAAGCTGCTGCTGTATAGTGCGGCCTTCTTATTCTCTATATATTCTTCAACAGTCTCATAATATTATGACTTTATTCTCGTAATATTTCGACTTTATCCTCATACAACTTTATTCTCATAATATTACAACTTTATTCTCGTAATACTATGATTTTATTCTCATAATTTTATGACTTTTTCTCATAATATTATATATGTCTAAATAAAGGTTGAATGATATA